CCCCCCCAAACACAGCTTAAGATTTTTTTAAAGTATGGCTGATTACTTTAGAAATCTTTTAACATTTAATGGTACATGCAGTCTAAAACTTCTACGATCCAAATGTTTTCTTGAGTGCATTTTCCCCTCATTACTCTCTACAGACTTCGTGGTAAATCTTTTCCAAGGTGTTAGAGACAAAGATTCCCTGCTGTACAAGAAGAATGGACGCCAACTGGGTATCGCTGAAGCTCATTCTGGCAGCAGCGCTGTTGCAGTCTTCATGTGCAGTTGAGTTGAATGTTACCACACCTGAGGTAGAAGTAGGAAAAGCTGCCAACGTGACATTGAAATGTTTTAATCTGTTTCCCAAAACAGAAATTTCTGCAATTGTCACGTTGAGATTACTCAAACGGGACCACGAAAAGTGGAACAAGACAGTAGAGATACGGCGAGGCGGCAAGGTGGAAATCAAACAAAAATCCCTAAACGCATTCGCTGAGGGCAGTATCGAGACTGTTGCTGACAGCTTTCTTCAGCTGACCTGGCCTGTGTCGACCAATGACACAATCGGTCAATACCGCTGTGACGTCGTCGGGTTGTCTTCCCCGGACGACTTTGTCTTGCAGAAAAGTCTTCCAGTTGTAGTCACCCGCAAAACGCACATCACTCTGCACTCCCTGAGCGAAACAGTGGAGGAAAACCGACAAGTTTGTTTGCAGCAACTCCGCTCACTGAGAGAAGACGTTCTGAACACCACGACGACGCTTGAAGCAAGTTTTCAAAAGCTTGAAGCAAGTTTTCAAAACACGTTGAAGAGCCTGGTAAAGGTGAGAATCTCTCTCGAGTGTATTATATTTGATTGTTCCCCTTGAACGAGCAAACGTGTTCAATAACTTATCTCCTTTCACTTTGAATGAATGTAGGAACAGCAGGTCGTGCCTTTTTAGAAGACCCCAGCGCCGTGAAACAGATGATAAACCATACGTGAGGCAGCGTGGTGGAATCAGGCACTCGTCAATTTTTGGGCATGTGGAGTTATTGGTGTCATCTTAAAGCCTGTTCATTTGTCTATCTTTAGGTGACAAAAGTACCCATGTATCTTTAATAGAGGCCGAAATATTTCTGATTGAAGTAAGTAGGGCAACCTGATTTCAGAGGAAAAATAAGGGAGAAAATGACCGCCAAAGCTTGGTATCTTTCAAAGCGTGAGAATCCTTGAAAACGGAAAATTTACTTTTTTTGTACCATTAATCAACGTTTTTCGGGATAATCCACACAGAAATGTGTTCTTAAATGGATATAAAAGCTGTTGAGCTTATAAACAAAAAAATTGATAAAAAATGTCAAACGGGCATAAAACATGCCAATATCTTTGATTTCATTATTTTGACGAGAGCCTGATTCCACCACGCTGTCTCACATACATTAACCAATCGAAACTCCACACAGGAAATTGATTGTCCCAGGCACGACAAGTGTTGTAGAACTTCATGAGGACACTATACAAATTATACAAAATGAACATATTGACATTCTCTGAGGAAAAAAATCTAATCGGTTCCGAGCAAATCTGTGCATCTTTCGTAATGTGTGACGATTGTCAACTCAATTAGGTCAAACCATTGTGACGTCACTAGTCTTCATTTTGTGGCAGATATCTCAAACCGTTAAATATACCCCAACTAGCTATAATATCATAATCGAAAGAATGACGTCATGTTGCAGGTGTTGAACTTCAACACGGAAAAGAAGAAGAAAGAGGATCTCAAACAGACGCAAGACATTCTCCACAATGTGACAGTGAACATGGCCACTCTCCAGGATGGTTTCCAGCACCGTTTGAGCAACGTCAAGGAGCAGCTTCAGGTGAGAACATATATA